GTAAGCATTTGCTCATTTAAAGAGTCACCCGGGTTTTCTGTCTGACCTCAGGAAGATTCAGTTTCTCTCTCAGGTCTATTTTCTCTTTAAAAGATTGAGATTGAGAAACTTGAGCCTGGCCCATGTGATTCAGTGGGTGTGCAGGAGGCAGTGGATCAATGTTTCTATTGCTCTCCATCCCCTTTCCCCTCTCTCTAAAGTCAATAAAAATATATATTTTTTAATATTGAGAAGCTTGAGTTTGTCATATTTTTAACTGTTCTTGGGATATATGATTTGGAACTTGGATAAAACAGTTGGGCCAAAAGTGTCATCTTCATCCTAAAGAAGCCTTAATACTTGTATCTTGTACAAAGTTGTGGAATTCCACACGCAGCAAAGATATTTTAGTAAGGTTCTCAGGAAAATGGTTATATAGAATTAGGATAAAATTTAATATTTTTGAATTCATACTGTTTGTTTTTCAGACCTGAGATGGCAGTTTAGGTCTTGCTCATTTTGTATATAATTCAACCTTTTATAGCAGGCATTTGATATTAAATTAAATAAGATGTACTTCACCCCAGGGATTGTGAAACCTTTGGCATGACATTTTAGTCAATAGTATAAACCTGTAGTTTAAAAAGGGCTTTATCATTAACTCAGAGCAGGGAACCCTACCTAGAATGGAGACAGCTAAATTGATATTGACTATTCACTCCAGTTTCTATTTCTCTTTGGCCTCAAAAGTTAAAAAAAAAAAAAAAAAAAGAAAAGAAAAAGAAAAAAAAAAAGAAAAGTCTACTTGCCAAAGAAAAAAGTCTACACTCCCAGAAGGGAAGTTGTTTTAAGTTATGTCCTGGTTTTTTGGTTCCGTAGGGTATGTGTGTGTGTGGGGGGGGGGGGGGGAGATGGGGGGTGGCAAAGACTTTGGTTTCAGGTGCAGCTGGATGTCAAAGTTCTTTTCTACACAAGCTTCAGCCGCATGACTTGCATTTTTGGTCTGGTCTGTTGTCTCTGAGGATTTGTATTATTTGCATCTTCTTCCCTGGCGCTCTTTTTTTTTTTTTTTTTTTTTTAGTTTATTGATTTTAGAGGGGTTAGGGAGAGAGAGACTGACTTGTTGTTCCACTTATTTATGCATTCATTTATGAGCTTGTATGTGCTCTGTCTAGGGATTGAACCCATAAACCTGGCATATCGGATGAACACCTAACCCAGTGGTTGGCAAACTCATTAGTCAACAGAGCCAAATATTAACACTACAACGATTGAAATTCCTTTTTGAGAGCCAAATTTTTTAAACTTTAAACTTCTTCTAACGCCACTTCTTCAAAATAGCCTCACCCAGGCAGTGGTATTTTGTGGAACAGCCACACTCAAGGGGCCAAAGAGCGGCAGTTTGCCGACCAGGGCTCTCACCAGCAGAGCTCCCGGCCAGAGCCTCCTTCCCCTGCTTTGACAGTAATTATGAGCAATGAGTTTGGCCTAAAAAGCTTTGAGCAAATATCAGTACTCTCATGAATAGATATAAGGGCAAATAAGATATCATAGTTGGAGCCAAATTACAAACATTGTTTTAAGAGGTAGGGTAGAATAGAGAAATCGGAAAAGGGTAGGGGGGAGTAGATTGCCAAAGCATTTTTTGCTTCCATTCTCTGTTTGAGACCTCTTTTCTCTGATTTCACATCTTTCTGGGATATTTTTTATTTTTTATTTATTTTTTAAAATTTATTTTATTGATTTTGTACAGAGAGGAAGGGAGAGAGATAAAGAGTTAGAAACATCGATGAGAGAGAGTCATCGATCAGCTGCCTCTTGCACACCCCCCACTGGGGATATGCCCGCAACCAAGGTACATGCCCTGGACCGGAATCGAACCCAGGACCCTTCAGTCTCCAAGCCGAAGCTCTATCCATTGAGCCAAACCGGTCTCTCTGGGATATTTTTAAAAAGTATGTTTTTATTGATTTCAGAGAGGAAGGGAGAGGGGTGGGGTGGGGGGAAACATCCATGACGAGAGAGAATCATTAATTGGCTGATTCCTGCACACCTCCCACAGGGACCAAGGCCACAACCCAGGCTTGTACCCTTGACCGGAATTGAACCCGGGACTTTTCAGTCCCCAGCCATCACTCTATCCACCGACCCAAATCAGCAAGGGCCCTTTCTCGGATCTTTATCATATCCTGCCTTGATTTGTGTATTTGCTTCACCATCCCACTGTAAACTGCTTAATATCAAGAACTGCATATTCATCTGTGATACCCTGCCTATATTCCACCCCTTCCCCACTAGCACAGAATTTTACTTCATGCCACAATATTGTTGAAAGTCAGTAGTGACTTCCTAATGGTCACAAATTAAAGTCCAAATATCAAATATATTATATCTTGAAGCACTCCAGCTTTAATTTCCCTCACATCCCAACAATTCCTTTTTCACCTTCCCCTGGTTTCTGCAGGGATTCCTCTCTGGGCCTCTGGTTATTTTACAAACTCAAGAGACCTAAAATAACTGTATGATCACAATGCTTTCTCCCCAACCCCCACTTCCCGCACACCTCTCTCCTCATCTCTCATTCAGTTATTACTCCTCGAGTTAGGGATCCAACAAGAGGATCCTACCAGTTGTTGAACATGTCTGTTCTTTTTAAAAATGTATCTTTCTATTCTTTTCTTCTTTTTTGAGCATGTCTATTCTAATTATGCATTCCAGAACTGGGGATATAATCACAGGATAGATTCAGGGACTCACTGGGCCCACTGTTAGATGAGACCTGATGGAAAACTCTATTAACATAAGCTCCTATTTTCACTGATAGAGCAGAGTGTGATTTTGGGTCTCTAGGAGTTTGTGTCTATTTAGGAACTGTGTCCAGTATCCCATGAAAACTCTGATTACTTCCCTTTATTCCCTTTATTCAATGACCATTTATTTACCACGGTCACCCTGGTAAATAAATGGTCATTCGTCCTGTGGACTAAAAAGGAACCACATATTAAACCTGACAACCTCAGGGGAGGCCTAAAATATCTGTATAGGATTATTGGCAGCGAAACTGGCTCCAGGTGTTAGACCAGTGGAGTCAAACGGGGTCTTGGTTGGGCAACCTCAGTACTTGAGTTTTGGTTAAGAAAGAATTCAGAGGCAAGACACAAACTATAAGAGAGTTTATTTAGGAAGGCAGAGAGGTAGAAGAAGTGAGCCATAGAAGAAATGGGCTCAGAAAACAAGTTAGGCAAAAAAAAGGGCCCTTGTTTACCCTGGAGATGAGGAGACCTTGGTTCTTGTCTTCTTTAGGGAAAGATTTCAATCAAGACACAAAGTGTAGAAAAGAAAGCAATAATTTATTGACCGCAGCAAAAAATATATTTAGGACAGTGAAACAAGAAGAGCACAGAAGAAGCAATAGGAGTCTAGGCTGGGCTGCCTTGACTCACTGGGAAGTCAGAAAAAGGGGGCCTGAGAGACAAGGTCAGGGGTTAGCCTGGGAGGAGCCCTGCTGCCCATGGCTTCCCTGGTTGCAAGTCTCATGGGGTTCCTTAAAGGTTAGGAGACAGGTGTGGGAAAGGGGGTGGGGAGGGTGAGGGGAATGACATAGGCACACTGGGACCTTCACTTCCGGGAGTTTTAAAGGCTGGGCGTTTAGGAGTGGATCAATCGGATATTCATCAGCTTTACCGAAATGAGATTTATTCTCTTAGTTTGTCTGTTTTGGGTGGGGTTGGCAAATGGCACTTACTTGGATTTCTGTTGTCTGTCTCCCTGAGTTGGGTGCTTTTTACCCTCTGTTTGGGGAGAACTGCAAACCACTTACTCTTAAGCATCCTTTAGGGAAGATAAAATTTACTAGGTGGCTGCAAACTGCCTTTTAGCTATCTGTGTTAGCTTCCCTATTCCACTTGTCCTGCATTGTTCCTAGCTTCTTTCTATTCTACAACACTTGGGAACTTAGGAGAAAGAGAGAAAAGGAAAACACGCCTGGGGGAAGGGGATAGGGAAAGGCGCCTGTGTGCTCCATAGAGAGAGTTGCCCAGGAAGGAAGTTTGATTGCTTTCGCTTACTGTAAACGCTTAGAAATAAAACCGCCATTTACACGTGCTGTTCAATGTGCCCTTAATGAACTTTAGGTGACTATGCTATGAATCAGCGAATTCGAAATTAAAATTACTTTTAAATCCTCAGGTCAAAGAGCAAGGCCTCCGCCAAAGTGATTACACTTTTAACACACATACATAATTAACCACCTCTTTTTTTTTTTTTTTTTTTTTTTAACGTCCTTACACTTTACACCTGGAATATAATGAAATACCGCCATGAACATTATTCCAGCTACCAGACATATAGTCTCAGCAGAGGATGATGACGCCTGTAGCCTCAGGTAACCTTCCCCAAAACCCGAGGAGAGAAGCTGTCAGTCCCATTTCTCGGAAGCGGCCAGTGAAACCCTGACTGCGCCAAGGTCCCGGCCCTCCGGCGAGATGACGTTTACGACGGCGGGGGATTTCCGTGCCGGTGACACACGCCACTTCCGGCCGGCGGTGAGAGTCAGTGACGTGGCAGGCCAGGCCGAACACGGTCCTCAGGGCAGGGACACCCGGGGCTGTCAGCGGGCCTCTGGGCAGCCCCGCCGGGAGGGCACCGACTGCGGCGGCCGCCGCCAGCCCGGAGCCGGAAGTGCCACGTGTCCCCACTGCGCCTGCGCGGCCGGCTGACACTTCCGGCTGGGGCCTCTCCGCTCTCTGGGCTGGGCTGCCTTCTTCCAGCGCCGCGTTCCCGGCCCCACCGACGCGACTACCTACCCTCCCTCAGCTCCCAGGCCGAGTCGTGGCCGCGGGTGGGCTGGGGAGAATGTGGCGCCGGGCCTAGGGCTTGATGCGCCTCCCTCTCTCCTCCCCGCCTCCCGCCCGCAGTCGTTCTCTCCCTTCGCTTCCAGTAGTCGTCTCTCATCGCTTGGCTTGGCGCTGTCGCACCCCGCGACCAGCCCCTTCCAATCCGGATAACCACCGCCGTCCGTCATGTCCCAGCCGGGGGTACCGGCCTCCGGCGGCGCCCTCACCGGCCTCCAGGCCCAGAATGGGGCCGCCTCGGCCTCGGGGTCTTCGTATACCAACGGTAGGTGCCACTCGGGGGCGCAGGGAGGGCGCAGCCTGGGCCCGGGCTCCCGCTGAACTTTGGTCGCCGCCGCCGCCGCCGCCGCCTGAGGCGGGAAGAGGGGAGGGTGGCATCCCGACCTGGGTCTGCAGCCGGCGGGTGGGCGGCTAGGCCACGGAGACAGCGGCCAGTATGCACCCGCTGCTCCTGGCTCGTCTTAGTGTTTTATATGGTTATTTGTTTATTCATTTGTCCAGCAAACAGGTAATGAGCACTTGTCAACCTGGGTGAAAACTAGATTCTGTCCAAACCTCAACACTCGCATAGAAACCTCATAGTTGTTTATGGGCCTTCCTACTCCGTGCCACCGCGCCCGTCTTACAGAGAGAGCAGATTTGGGGTCTGATTCATTTGGGTCCTACAGTGGGATGGGGGTCATACTCAGTCTGAATTGGTGGAGATGAAAAATGATTGTACTTTCCGGAGATCCCTTCAGAGCCGGTTCATCTTTCCCAGAACCTTCCTCGAATCGTAACTGAGGCCACCTGTTCAGTTTTGATGCTTTGGAAGAACCAGAAAGGAGGATTTCCTGTTTGATTTCCAGAGGTCTTGACATCACTTGGAAAGTGGTTGGGCACAACTCAGAACCTCTGATGAGAGTGTGCATGTGGCACTATAATTTGTCATTTGGTGTGAGAGTATCTTACTTTATTTTATTTATTTATTTATTTTTTTACCTCTTATAGGATTTCAAAAACTGTGCTGCATTGTGATTTTATTATAATTGTTATAATAAAGATAGATTGCCAACAGCTTGCTAAGTTACCAATTTACCTACAAATCTTTGGTTCATGGAAACAAAAGCAGAATAATACTAAAATACTGAGATTTCCGTTGGAATCTAAAATTTCTGTGAAGTTCGAGAATATAGGCAATTCACATTATTTTTAGAGATGACTGCTGTCTTTTTTTTTTTTTTAACAAAGAAAGCTCTAAAAGACTTTTAAAAATGTCTGTGAGTGGGCAGAAATAAGAATAAGTGGGGGTAAACACTGAAATGGTGTTCAATCGAATCAATTGTTCTTTCTAAAATTTATGGTAATGTGTAAATTACATTTATTTTAGACTATTTACTGACATTTATGCTGAGGATGAAATCATTTAAAGAAATTTACTTTAAGCTATAAGAACCTTAAAAATATGTCATAGGGCTGTGGCTTTTTCTTATTTATAAATTTCAATTTTATACGAGCTTTAAATTTTTTAAATTTTTTTATTTTAGAGAGAAAGAGGGAGAGCGAAACATCAATTTGTTTTTCCACTAGTCATGCATTCATTAGTTGCTTCTTGTATGTGCCCTGAGGATTGAACCCATGACCTTGGCATATGGGGACCACTCTCTAACCAACTGAGCTACCCAGCCAAGGCTGGGTTTACCATTTAAAGTTCATGTGAAATTGCCCTGCCCTGGTAGCTCAGTTGGTTAGAGTGTGGTCCTGATTTTCCAGGGTTTGGAGTTCGATCCTCACTCAGGGCACATACAAGAATTAATAGTGAACACATGAATAAGTGGAACAACAAATTAATGTTTCTCTATCTTCTTTTTAAAATAAATAAAAATTTCTAAATAAAATAAATATCCTATATAATAAAAGCCTAATATGCTGTCAGGTCATCCTGTTGTCTGTTCAACCAATCAAAGCGTATTATGTTAATGATATGCTAAGGCCACTCAACCGCTCGCTATGACCTGCACTGACCATCAGGGGGCAGACACTTCCACTGGTAGGTTAGCTTTCTGCTGAGGTCTGGCCGATCAGGACTGAGTGAGATGGGCCGGACATGCCCTGGAGCCCTCCTGCCGTCCTGTCCCAGTTGGCTAACGTCCCGCATCCCTTCCCAGCTCTGATTGTGCACCTATGGGGTCCGTTAGCCTGGCCTGCGCCCTATCACAATCTGGGCTGAGGGACCCACTTCTCCCAACTGTACAAATTTTGTGCTTCAGGCCTCTAGTATAAAATAAATACATAAATGGCAAACCCTACCAATATGCTTGTAAGCTTATATGAACGTACGAGAGGCCCGGTGCATGAAAATTCATGCACTAGAGGGGGTAGTCCCTCAGCCCAGCCTGCCCCCTCTCAGTCGAGGAGCCTTCAGGGGTGGGAGGTGACCCGGCGATCGGGGGAAGGCGATGCTCATCACACCTCTGCTGCTGCCACTGCCGGCAGCACAAGCCTTGGCTGGCACTGGTTACCTGAGCCTCAGGTGGCCCTGGGCAGCTAGGGGGCTAAGGGGACTGGTGGACTCTGGAGGCAGGTGCCTGGAGTGGCCAGGCCCGCCTGGGGATAGGCCCAGCCTTGTTGCACGCCTGCCACCCCATCAGGGCTGAGGGGACTGGACGCCACTATCTTGTGGCTGTGGGCACCGCCATCTCTGAGGGCGAGGCAGTAAATTAGCATATTCCCTCCTTATTGGCTGTGGGCACTGCCATTTTTGAGGGTGGGACAGTCAATTAGCATATCTCTGCTTATTGGCTGTGGGTGCCACCATCTTTGTGATGTTGTGAGGGTCGATTAGCATATTTCCTTTATTAGATAGGGTAGTTTTGTTAATTTTGAAATGTCAAATGAATTTAGCCACTGTGATATGCTGTATTGGTGGTGATGTCATTATGTTGATTTGATCCAGTCCAACAGACATTTGCATATCTTCTAAAGTTCTGTCCTTGGGAAAATGGAACCCAAGGTACAGTCCCCTCCTTTTACACAGGTTCCCTAGAGCCAAATGTGGACTCATATATGGAATGAAATCATAGAACTGCACAAATACATACCTTTTAAAATATATAATTGACAGTCTTTATAAGCTCAATTTCTAAAGGTTTTTTTTGTTTATTTGTTTGTTTTGTAGAGTTAGTCTCAGTAAAGTGTCTAATGTCCTCTATTGGATTAACTTTTTTTTGCATCCCACTAATAATTAAGAGTACGGATATGGTGGAGAAATGGAGTGGAGGTTATTTCTCTAGAAGGTGAAAAAATAGTGCTGGAATGTAATTTTATTTTGGTTAACTCTTTTAAGGCAGTTATTGCTGCTTAAATATTCCATAGAGCCCTAGTCATGTGGCTCAATTGGTTGGAACATTGTCTCAATTCAACAAGAGGTAGTGGGTTTGATTCCCTGTCAGGCCACATACCTAGGTTGCAAGTTCCATCCCTGGTGGGGGCAAGTATAGAAGGCAACTGATGTGTTTCTCTTTCATAGCCATGTTTCTTTCTCTCTCTCTCCCACTCCCTTTCTCTCTAAAAATTAACAACAAAAATTCTATGGAATGCTTTAAACTTTAGATTTAATGTAGCTTGCTTATATTACATATCACAGTTCAGTTGGATCTTCAGATATTTTTAAATTATAATAAAAAGACCCAAATAAAGTAATCCCCCTTATCTATGGGAGATATGTTCCAGTGGATGCCTGAAGCTGGATAGTACTGAAACCTATATAGGCCATGTTTTATATATGTATATTAACTAGTAATAAAGTAGAACAGTTAACCAACATGCTGTAATAAGTTATATAAATATGGTCTCTCTCAAAATATCTTGTACTGTAACTTGTACTGACCCTTTCTATGATGATGCAAGATGATGCAATCTTATATAATAAAAGGCTAATATGCAAATCAGCTGGCCGAACAACTGGTCGCTATGACACACACTGCTCAATGCAGGAGCTGCCCCCTGGTGGTCAGTGCACTCCCAAAGGGAAGTGCTGCTCAACCAGAACCCCGGCTCATGACTGGCAAGTGCAGTGGCCGTGTCTGGAGCCTCTCCTGCCTTGTGGCAGCGCTAAAGATGTCCTACTGTCTTACTGATGGCTCCCGGCCTATCAGAGGGCACAGGCTGGGCTGAGGGACCCCCCCCACCACAAGTGCACGAATTTCATGCACTGGGCCTCTAGTGTTTACATAAAATGAAATGAAGTACTCAGAATAGCACACAACATAAAACTTGTGAATTGTTTATTTCTGGAATTTTCCATTTAATATTTTCAGATCGTGGTTGACCGAAATTAAAACTATAGAAATCGAAACTGAATAAGGGGGGACTAGTGTAATCACCTTTTTCATTTTTCTATAATTTCTTTTGTATTATATGGTATCATTATATTATAGAATTCCTCACAAATGAAGACCTTTCTGTGGTCAGTTGCATTACAATTTAAGATTGTTGAGATACGTTTTTCTAAGTTTCTATGTAGATTTGTGTATACATATTTCCTTTGCAAAAATTGATAGTGAAACTGCAAGACTACTTAAACTGGCAGATCTTCATCTGATTAGCATGTAATAAGGCTAAAGCCAGATCATGATTCCCACTGTTAATTAGCTGCTTTATTTTGACTTTGGTGACACTTATGTAATATTCACTTTTCCCATATAGATTAAGGGTGAGAAGAATATTCTCAAACCTCTCTCCCACCCAGCTTTCCATTATATTGTAATTTTATTAAATAATACCTGATTTGCCTCTAGATAGTAAAACCTATGAGGGCAAGAATATCTGTTTTACAAATCATCCTCTCTCCAACTACCTACATGTTGTCTAGCACATTTTAAGAGTTATCAGTTTTATTGTTTGAAAGTTTTAGATTTAGGTATTTTGTAATTTAAGACTCTAAACTTCTAAATCACTTCCAATTTTTTTTTTCTGCTAAAATTTTCTATGGATTTTTTTTCACAATATTATCAGCTAAAGCTCAATAGAATATGTGTGTGAGTGGATTATCAGTTTAAATTCTAAATTTATACTCATATCTATATTTTTGGCATGACAGAAATGCAGATCTCTTTCAGTTTCACTATTATGTAAACCATGGTTATGATTGTATATTTAATATAGGAAGTCTCTAGTCATGGTCAAAGCATGCTGTGAATAAAATTGGCACGTGGTCACCCTGGCCAGTGTGGCTCTGTTGGTTGTGTGTTGTTCTGTTCACCAAAAGGTTGATGGCTCCATTCT